CAACCTACGCGGCCTCAACGCGTATGTGGCGTACCGCCACTTCAAGATGGAGGGCATCCACCTCCTGCGGGTCCTCCTACAAAGCAACGACTGGTTCACCAGACTAGATCTAAAAGATGCATACCTGTCGGTCCCAGTGCATCCGGATTGCCGAACCCTCCTACGTTTCCTCTGGCACGGCCGTCCTTGGCAATTCACCTGCCTCCCTTTCGGGCTCAGCTCGGCCCCTTGGTGTTTCACCAAACTTCTGAAACCGGTGGTGGCCCACCTGAGATCCAGAGGCGTCCGATGCATCATCTACCTGGACGACCTGCTTCTCTTTTGCTCCAACGAGCGCAGACTGCACCAACACACTCATCTCGCAGTAACACTGCTGGAATCTCTGGGCTTCGTGGTGAACCGCCAGAAATCGGAATTGATCCCATCCCAGACGATACAATTCCAGGGCTTCGAGATCGACTCGACTACATGCACTCTAAAGTTTCCAGCCTCGAAGATCTCGTCTATTCACAAGGAGATTCGCAGAGCACTCCGTCGCGACTCCATCCCTCTCCGCAACCTGGCCAGGATCGTGGGACTCCTCTCCGCCTCCATTCAGGCCATATTCCCGGGTCCCCTCCACTACAGAGCCATGCAACGCCTCAAGGCGAGGTACCTACGCCGCAGGCCCACGTACGATCAAATCGTCCCGGTGACGACGGAAGTTCGCGAGGAACTATCATGGTGGCTGGACAGCATGCAAGCCTGGAACGGCAGGGCCATATTCGGAGACACCCCAGACTTCGTACTGGAGTCAGACGCCAGCTTGTGGGGCTGGGGCGCCACCAACGGGTCCATATCCACAGGAGGAACATGGACAGCTCAGGAACTCTCCATGCACATAAACTGCCTGGAACTCCTGGCAGGGTCCTTCGCGATCCGCAGCCTGGCCCGAGACAGATCCAACTGCTGCATCCTCCTACGCATGGACAATGTCTCCGCAGTCCGATATATCAATCGCCTGGGGGGCGCACGTTCACGTCTACTGTCAGACATCACAAAGGACATTTTCGATTATTGCCTACCCCGCAACATCGCACTCCAGGCCGAATACCTGCCCGGGGAAATCAACCTCACGGCCGACTGGTTCTCTCGCCACTGGAGGGACGTCAGCGATTGGAGACTGAACACGAGGATCTTCAGAGCCCTGGCGACCCGGAGGGGTCCCTTTCACCTGGATCTTTTCGCGTCCCGCAACAACCATCAAACCCCGGAGTTCTTCAGCTGGCTCCCAGACCCGGAGAGCAAGGCGACGGACGCTTTTCTACAACAATGGCCAACGACCGGAGCCTATGCCTTTCCCCCATTTGCCATGATCGCAAGAACATTACACCAGATGCAGACGCAACAGGTCACTTTGGTCCTCATAACACCCTTGTGGCAGAGCCAACCGTGGTTTCCGGACCTCCTGGCCACCTCCTGCAGGGATCCTCTCCTCCTTCCATCCTTTCCGGAGCTGCTCACGGATCCCAAAGGGAATCTTCACCCACTTCTCTTGGAAGATCGACTACCCCTGGTGGCTTGGACTCTTTCCGGGGTTCCTGGCAAGTCAGCGGACTATCGCAGGCTACCAGGGACCTCTTATGGGATTCCTGGGCCCCCGGAACTAGACGCTGCTACCTTTCAGCTTGGACCTCCTGGTCTACTTGGTGCATGGAACGGGACGCCGATCCATTTACAGCACCTATTCCCATGATTCTCAATTTCCTTTCATCCTTGTTTTCTTCGGGCCGCTCCTATCGGTCTGTTAACGTTTTTCACTCCGCGATTTCGGCTGCCCATACCCCCGTAGGGGACCTCCCGGTCGGCAAAGACCCTCTCGTCTGCCGCCTGCTCCGTGGTATGCGGCTCCGCCGCCCCCCAGCTCCCAGGTACTCCCACCTATGGGATGTTGGGCTGGTCCTCCGTTTTTTCAGGGATTGGCTCCCTAATGACCGCCTCTCCCTACGCCAATTGCCGGCTAAGTGCGCTTTCCTGCTCTGTCTCGTGTCCTTTCGACGGGTATCAGACGTTCGAGCCTTCGACGTTGACGCCTTCGAGATTGCCCTGGAGGGTGTCACTTTCCACGTTTCCCGTCGCACTAAGTCGGGTTCGACCTCGGTATTCTACCCTTTTTTCCCAGACGATCCGCAACTCTGCGTCGTGTCCACCCTGCGCAGATACGTTTCGGCTACCTCCCCGCTCCGGAACTCGGCGTCGGGCCAACTCCTAGTCTCCTATGTTCGCCCCCACGCGCCGGTCTCGGTCACCACACTGGCCCGGTGGATTCGATGGATCCTCTCCCTCGCCGGTATAGACCCTACTTTCGGCGCCCACTCCGTTCGAGGGGCGGCGGCTTCCTCAGCCTTCCTAGCGGGGGCGTCACTGTCAGACATCCTCCGAGCGGCGGATTGGTCTCGGGAATCCACTTTCCGTACCTTTTATTTTCGCACTCCCCCTTCTGCTGGGACATCTCTCCTTCAGCGTTAAAATTGCAAAATAGGAAGCCTCCTGTCATGTTATAAAATTGAAGATTATGCTAGCTTTAGTGTACTAATAATCTTAATTTTAATAAGGACAGGAGGCGAGTATTTTCCCTCCCTTTTGTTCCCTACCCTGACTCCTCGGGGGAGTGGATCTCAAGGTGACGGACCTTTTTCTTTTGGCTTGTCAGTGCTTGCTACTTTCCTTGGGGTGCCTGCAGTTTCTATCCCGTCTCTCATCCCAGATCTAGGCCTTAGTCTACCAGGTTACGTTGCACCACATGTTACACATAACACGTATTACCTTACATTACACTCACTCCTGTGTATATCATCACTTAGGTTGACACACTCTGATATGGCTCTCATGTGTGACCAGTTACGGTTCAGTACCTAACCTATTTCATACTCTTCTTTCAGTGTAATCCTCTTCAGGACCTCCACTGGTTGTTGGTTTGGTTACCCTCACGCTTACGAGGATAAAGGCTTCGTTTCGTCTTCTCCCGAACTCGTTTACCAGGAGTCTCATCAGGTTCTGCTCACCAGAGACCGTTGTTGATTGTTTTGTTGGTTTCTATCGTTTCGAGCTCAGTCTGGACTTGGATGTCGCTTCAAGAAAGAGGAAGTGTACAGGCAGCATGACGCTTATATATACTATGCTGCTCAGTGATTTAATGTTACTTTTTACGTTTTTCTTTACTGCTGTGGAGTTTAGTAAAGAGAGTTAATGCAAAATACTCGCCTCCTGTCCTTATTAAAATTAAGATTATTAGTACACTAAAGCTAGCATAATCTTCAATTATACAATACAGATATATTGATTTACAACACTGTTTTCTTGCCTGTTACTGGCTGTCCAACCAAAATTTTTATTTTTGTTTTCACTTAATAAATGTGCTATCTACACACACTAAAACGGAAAATACATTTAAAGGGACACTGTAGGCACCCAGACCACTTCAGCTCATTGAAGTAGTCTGGGTGCTGTGTCCCTATTACACTTAGAGCTGCAATGTAAAACTGGAACTCTGGAATTGCAATGTTTACATTGTAGTTCTAAGTCTGCCCTCAGTGGCTGTCTGACAGACAGTCACTGGGGGCGCTTCCAGAATCCAAATGGACTTTTGGTCCGTTATCTGACGCTGGACGTCCTCGTGGACCTCCAGAGCCAGATTTTCCCCATAGGAGAGAATAATGCTTTCCTATGGGGAAATGCTAATGGGAGAGCGGCCATTGCCGCGCATGCGCATTTGGTCTCCCCCGCTGGCTAATGTTGAGAAGGAGGAGCATGGGAAGGACCTGACCCAGCGCCAAGGGACATCGGTGCTGGATTCAGGTAAGTGGCTGAAGGGGTTTTAACGCGAGGGATAAGGGGACCTATTAAATCTATAGTGCCAGGAAAATGGGGTTGTTTTCCTGGCACTATAGGATCCCTTTAAACATTAGTTCCCAGGACACCCAAATTACTTGGATTCTGAAGGTTTGTTTTCTGCAAAATGTTCAGTAGTGAACTCAGTAGTGAATTACTTAATAGTGCAATAAAGTAGGATCTGCAGCATATAATAATAGATCTGCATTAATTGCAAACATTTTACTCTAACTTTGTTAAAAATGCTTAATAGGAACAATCCAATACAAAATGGAGTGTAATATAAATATTCATTTATTGTAAAAACAGTATTTAACTATAATAAAATTAAAATGCAATATATGTTCTTAGTCACTTTCATTTCAAAATGAATCCCACCTATATTCCTTTTATTTTATACATAGCGAGAGACCTATGTCGTTTTAGGTTGTTGCTTCTGCCCAACTATGATGATATTTGTGATGATTTACTATATACATTTTTGATATTAGCAGGGTTGTCCAAACAGGGTTATTCACTGAAGTGTGAACCCTCATTAATTCAAAGTGATTACAAACTGATTAAAAATAATAATAATGATAATAATTCAGGACATAATTGCTAAACTGTAAAATTTCTCCCAGTCACCTACAGTGTCATTTGCGCTACTTTGACCTAAAATTTAAAATTCACTTTGAATTCACTTTGATTTTTTTCCATTTCACACTTTGCCACAGCAGCAATTGGTTATATGTTTTATGTCGAAGGGGCATCAAATTCAGGAAAGTTTTTTAATGATTATATTGCATTCACAACATTGTAAAAGTTTAGATTGTATTACACGAAGACCAGATTCATTTTAAAATTTAATTTAATTTTTTTAATTTTCATTCTGGGGTCATGGCTTAAATGGTGCCGAGAGCGGTCGCATGCTTGCAGAGCTCTGGCAATTCATCGGCTTAAGCTCTTAATTATACCACTTGTACCACAGCATAGCGATCCCTGATATCGGGGAAGACATTGGGAAGCATTCCTAGAAACGAAAAACTCTCTCTGGAGAAGGAAACCGGAGCATCTGGGAACTTTTGCACACGCATTGAAAACCCCAGCACGCCTGACAACCCCAGCTCTTCTCCTCCGTGAAGGATTTAATGGATGCCCCTGACCCTATACCTAAGGCTGAACAGCCAGCACCTCATTTACAACTGGAGGACCGAGGAGCCCCAGTCAATAAAGACCTCATGGTCAACATCCGGGCCTTCTTCTGGACTGATCTGGAGGTGGCCCAGGTGGAGGTGATAGCGATTACCGAAGACATCTCCTCTCTCTCGCAATGCCTGGCTGGTACAGCAGAACAGGTCCAACATTTACAGACCTCACACATGGCCATGCACGTGATGGATACACACTAGCGCAATAATCTTGATGTCAGAAGTACAGGGAGTGCAGAATTATTAGGCAAATGAGTATTTTGACCACATCATCCTCTTTATGCATGTTGTCTTACTCCAAGCTGTATAGGCTCGAAAGCCTACTACCAATTAAGCATATTAGGTGATGTGCATCTCTGTAATGAGAAGGGGTGTGGTCTAATGACATCAACACCCTATATCAGGTGTGCATAATTATTAGGCAACTTCCTTTCCTTTGGCAAAATGGGTCAAAAGAAGGACTTGACAGGCTCAGAAAAGTCAAAAATAGTGAGATATCTTGCAGAGGGATGCAGCACTCTTAAAATTGCAAAGCTTCTGAAGCGTGATCATCGAACAATCAAGCGCTTCATTCAAAATAGTCAACAGGGTCGCAAGAAGCGTGTGGAAAAACCAAGGCGCAAAATAACCGCCCATGAACTGAGAAAAGTCAAGCGTGCAGCTGCCACGATGCCACTTGCCACCAGTTTGGCCATATTTCAGAGCTGCAACATCACTGGAGTGCCCAAAAGCACAAGGTGTGCAATACTCAGAGACATGGCCAAGGTAAGAAAGGCTGAAAGACGACCACCACTGAACAAGACACACAAGCTGAAACGTCAAGACTGGGCCAAGAAATATCTCAAGACTGATTTTTCTAAGGTTTTATGGACTGATGAAATGAGAGTGAGTCTTGATGGGCCAGATGGATGGGCCCGTGGCTGGATTGGTAAAGGGCAGAGAGCTCCAGTCCGACTCAGACGCCAGCAAGGTGGAGGTGGAGTACTGGTTTGGGCTGGTATCATCAAAGATGAGCTTGTGGGGCCTTTTCGGGTTGAGGATGGAGTCAAGCTCAACTCCCAGTCCTACTGCCAGTTCCTGGAAGACACCTTCTTCAAGCAGTGGTACAGGAAGAAGTCTGCATCCTTCAAGAAAAACATGATTTTCATGTAGGACAATGCTCCATCACACGCGTCCAAGTACTCCACAGCGTGGCTGGCAAGAAAGGGTATAAAAGAAGAAAATCTAATGACATGGCCTCCTTGTTCACCTGATCTGAACCCCATTGAGAACCTGTGGTCCATCATCAAATGTGAGATTTACAAGGAGGGAAAACAGTACACCTCTCTGAACAGTGTCTGGGAGGCTGTGGTTGCTGCTGCACGCAATGTTGATGGTGAACAGATCAAAACACTGACAGAATCCATGGATGGCAGGCTTTTGAGTGTCCTTGCAAAGAAAGGTGGCTATATTGGTCACTGATTTGCTTTTGTTTTGTTTTTGAATGTCAGAAATGTATATTTGTGAATGTTGAGATGTTATATTGGTTTCACTGGTAATAATAAATAATTGAAATGGGTATATATTTGTTTTTTGTTAAGTTGCCTAATAATTATGCACAGTAATAGTCACCTGCACACACAGATATCCCCCTAACATAGCTAAAACTAAAAACAAACTAAAAACTACTTCCAAAAATATTCAGCTTTGATATTAATGAGTTTTTTGGGTTCATTGAGAACATGGTTATTGTTCAATAATAAAATTAATCCTCAAAAATACAACTTGCCTAATAATTCTGCACTCCCTGTATAGCGGAAGCCGTTACTTCTGAGGAATTGCCACATTTCTTCAGGTGCCTCTTCTTTGTGTTACTGCCCCACAGGCAAATAAAACACACTCTAACCAATGGCTCACATCAACTCCCTAAGTCCTCTAGGGCAACTCCCCGAAATGTCCTGCTCTGCTTCCTATCTTTACGGCTTCGGATGCTTCCAACTCATTCCTTGTAGAGCTGGGTCTGGCACAACAAATGGCCTCTACTCCTGCTACACGCAACTTCTAAGGTATGTGGAATATCGCCCCCTTCATACCCTGCTCGGGAGTGGATACTGGCTGAAGCGTTTCTTTATCCTGATACACTTGCCCCCCCAGTGGTGCCCAGCGGATATTGGGCACTATTAATATCATGGTTTGCCACAGTAATGCTTCAAACTGGTACTTCACATACTTGCCTGCACTTGGTAATCTCCACCTCAATAGCACTACACAGTGGTGGACTAAGAGGGGGTGGGGAAAGGGGCTGGTCTGCCCCGGGTGCCACCAGGTAGAGGGTGCCATAAAACTGGTCTGAGAGCTAAAGGGGGATGTGTGAGCTGCGCCCCATGGCAGTTGGGGTGCCGCACAGCTCACACGCAGAGACCAGCAAGCTAAACTGGCCGCACGGAAGGAAGGTGGGCGCGGAGCTATGTACATTTGGGGCGGAGCCAATCTGATAGTGGGGGTGAGGCTTAACAGAGCCCTTACCTGCTGCTGTTACTGCTGCACATGGAGGTGCAGCAAGAATAAATTCCTGCTCCCCCTACCTAACAGGCTCCAGGGAAGGACTTCAGTGAATCCACTTGTCCAGCCCACACTGTCTGTAAGTAAGAGTGTGTGTGTGTGTGTGCGTGTATATAACTGTCTGCCTGTAACTGTGTGTGTGTGTGTATAACTGTCTGCCTGTAACTGTGTGTGTGTGTGTGTGTATAACTGTCTGCCTGTAACTGTGTGTGTCTGTGTGTAACTGTCTGCCTGTAACTGTGTGTGTGTGTAACTGCCTGCCTGTAACGGTGTGTATGTGTGTGTAACGGTCTTCCTGGAACTATGTGTGTATGTGTGTGTGTGTAACTGTATGCCTGTATCTGTGTGTGTGTGTGTAACTGTCTTCCTGAAACTGTGTGTGCATGTGTGTGTGTTTAACTGTCTGCCTGTAACTGTGTGTGTGTGTGTGTGTGTGTGTAACAGTCTACCTGTAACTTTGTGTGTGTGTGTGTGTGTGTGTGTGTGTGTGTAACTGTCTGCCTGTAACTGTGTTTATGTGTGTGTAACTGTCTGTCTGTAACTGTGTGTATGTGTGTAACGGTCTGCCTGAAACTGTGTGTGTGTGTAACTGTCTACCTGTAACTGCGTGTGTGTAACTGTCTGTCTGTAACTGTGTGTATGTGTGTGTGTTACAGTCTGCCTGTAACTGTATGTGTGTGTGTGTAACTGTCTGCCTGTTAACCCCTTAAGGACACATGACGGAAATATTCCGTCATGATTCCCTTTTATTCCAGAAGTTGTGTCCTTAAGGGGTTAATGTGTTTCTGTGTGTGTAACTCTCTGCCTGTAGCTGTGTGTGTGTGTAACGTCTGCCTGTAGCTGTGTGTGTGTGTGTGTAACTCTCTGCCTGCAACTGTGTGTGTGTATGTTTGTGTGTGTGTGTGTGTACCTGTCTGCCTGTAACTCTGTGTGTGTAACTGTCTTCCTGTAACTGTGTGTATGTGTGTAACTGTTTGCTTGTAACTGTGTGTGTGTAACTGTCTGCCTGTAACTGTGTGTGTGACTGCATGCCTGTAAGTGTGTGTGTGTGTGTGACTGCCTGTTACTGTGTATACCTGTCTGACTGTGACTGTGTGTGACAGTCTGCCTGTGACTATGTGATGCTGCCTGTAACTGTGTGTATGTGACTGTCTGCATGTAACTGTGTGCATGACTGCCTATAACTGACTGATAGTGGGGGTGAGGCTTAACACAGCCCTTACCTGCTGCTGTTACTGATGCACATGGAGGTGCAGCAAGAAGAAATCCCTGCTCCCCCCACCTAACAGGCTCCAGGGAAGGACTTCAGTGAATCCACTTCTCCAGCCCACACTGGTAAGAGTGTGTGTGTGTGTGTGTGTGCGTGTATATAACTGTCTGCCTGTAACTGTGTGTGTGTGTGTGTGTGTATAACTGTCTGCCTGTAACTGTGTGTGTGTGTGTATGTGTAACTGTCTGCCTATAACTGTGTGTGACTGTCTGTCTTTAGCTGTGTGCGTGTGACTATGTGCCTGTGACTGTGTGATGCTGCCTGTGACTGTGTGTGTGTGTGGCTGTAACTATGTGTATGACTGTCTGCCTATGACTGTGTGTGTGTGATTGTCTGCCTATAACAGTGTGTGTGACTGTGTCTTACTGCTTGTAACTGACTGTGTGTGTAACTCTCTACCAGTAACTGTGTGTATGACTGCCTGTGACTATATGTGTGACTGTCTGCCTGTGACTGTCTGTTGGTAACTGTGTGTGACTGTCTGCCTGTAACTGTGCGTGAGGAGGTGCAGGGATTTTGTAGAAGGGGGCAGGGGTTTTAAAAAGTTTACAAATTTGTGCAATACATTTTTAAAAAATGTAAAAAAAAAAAGAACACATTTTAAAAATTTAGTAGGTGTTTTTTTGGAGGGAGATGGGGGGGTGGACCGGCCCCGGGTGCCACATCCTCTAGGTACGCCCCTGGTACTACACTGTTTCCCACACCTACAACTGATTAGGTGACGCTCGAAGGCTCATACCAATGTATAACGGCTCTATCTTTTTTGTTATATCTCCACATAGGTTATTGGCCAATACCACAATGGCCACATCTAGAATACTACGATAGGCCCCACTGGTCCTTGCTGACTGTTCTTGGTTCGTTATACTTTAGTTTTCCTGTTATACCATAACAATTTTTAATTTCTGTTGAATTTCAGTGGTTCTGACATGTGTTATATCTTTTCATCCTTATAATTATGCGTTCATACAAATGTCATTATCCATGTAGATTACAATGATATATAAATTACAAGATATCGTCACAATGCTGTCCAACTGTACTGGAACATCGTACTCTGTGCCTGTATATGCTGTTGTTATTATTATTATTTATATAGCGCCGACAAATTCTGCCGCGCTTTACAGTGGGTGGACGAACAGACATGTTGTTGTAACCAGACAAGTTGGACACACAGGAACAGAGGGTGTTGAGGGCCCTGCTCAATGAGCTTACATGCTAGAGGGAGTGGGGTAAAGTGACACAAAAGGTAAGGATAGTATTATTGCAGGTAATTTGTCATGATTTCATGAGCATCAAAAATAAAGAATTTAAAAAAAAAAAATTTCCTTCTTCTTTTTGTACCAATGCAAAATGCTTTAGAAATAATTTATATATAATTATTAACATT